TAGCTTATTTTAAGCTAAGCTACTAATAAGCTATAAGCTATGTTTGGTAATATTCCCAAAATAAACTCCTAGCTTAAAATAAGAGCTTATTTTGGAACGCTACCTTAGGTACCGTTTCAAAATAAGCTCCCAGCTTCCTAACTTTTTTTTTTTTTTTTTTTAATTTTTATCCTTATTATATTATTTTAAAGAAATTAAATAATTTACCCTTCACAATTAATTTTTTTTTTCTCTTCTCCTTTATTCGCAACTTTCACCACAATTATTATTATTATTATTATTATTATTATTATTATTATTATTATTATTATTATTATTATTATTATGAGATTTGCAACAATATTATTACTCCATTATGAGATGCTAGATCATGATTATGCTAATAGTTTTATTTCAAAATGTTAATTTTTTTTTAAAGACAAAATGTTGTATTTTAATATGTAAACAAACTAATTTAAATTTTATAAAGATGTCCTTTTTAGTCTTTTTACATTTATCAGCTTATCCAAAAAGTTAATTTTACCAAACACTTTCAATCATAACAGCTAGCTTAACAGCTCTTTAGTTTTTAACTCTGAGCTTATAGCTTTTCAGCTTTCAGCTCGTAGCTTATAGCTTTTCAGCTAAGTTTGCCAAACAGAGCCTAAATAATCAAACACTTATATTGATTTTTTTTAACCAAAGCATAAATCTAATAGTGATCAAATAAGTCAGAATTGACCTATAGACTAAGTATTTTACCAAACAGGCCTATATCACTCAAATAAGAATATTGACGCTTATTCCAAATCCCCTTGTACTCAGCCCATTCCCATGCAAAAATTATGTTGTGCATCCGTATGCACCATGCAGGGTGCATACGGATGCAAAAACGACGTCGTTTTATTAAAAACGCGCGTCTCCCTTTTAAAAAAAAAATTCAGGTTCGATTCCCAGCAACAACATATGAACTAAAATTTCAGAATCGATGAACTATAATTCCAGAATCTATGAACTAAAATTCCAGAATCTAATCTATGAACTAAAAATTCCAGAATGAATGAACTAAAATTCCAGAGTCTATGAACTAAAATTTCAGAATCAATGAACTACAATTCCATAATCGATGAACTATAATTTCAAAATCAATGAACTAAAATTCCATAATCTATGAACTAAAATTCCAGAATGAATGAACAACATAATGTTGTTGTTGAGAATCGAACCTGAATTTTTTTTTAAAGGGAGACGCGCGTTTTTAATAAAACGACGGCGTTTTTGCATCCGTATGCACCATGCATGGTGCATACGGATGCACAACATAACTATTGAAATTGGTATTGCCTTATTACTTCTCCAGCGCTATTGGCCTAGCTTGTTTCATATTAAAAATACATCATTTGTGTACTGAGTATATATTATTTGATAGCATAATTCACATAATAATGATTGGTTTCACGTCATGCATGCCTAGTTTCGCTTCTTCAGCCCATTAGATCACTATTTCATCAATCGACAGTCATTATACCATAGACTATGGTCCACGTTGTAAGGTGGACATATGACAAAATTTACAATTTTAATATATTAAAGGTACATTTTTATTTATTTTCATAACTAATAATTGATTTTCAAAATGTAGTAGGACAAAAGCAGTTCACACTCCACAAAGGAAATTATATATTGCCTGGAATTTCATAACTAATAATTGATTTTTATAGATTTAAATTCAACACTATTTTCTTTACATCTCTGCAATACTTTCACACTTTCAAAAGTGATCCACTTTCATTTTTATATTATAAATATAATAATAATAAAGTAATAATAAAATAACAAATAAAATATAAAAAAGGAAATAAAACTATAAAAACAGACTTGCAAGTTTGCTATTAAGCTAAAACAAAAAAAAAAAAAAAAAAAAAACAAAAACAAAAACAAAAAAAAAAAAAAAAAAAAAAACAAAAAACAAAACAAAACAAAACAAATATCCACACTACCTTCCACATCATCTTGGAAAGGGTTCACTTGCTCTGATGAGGATAGCCTTACACAACTACACAAGTCATTTTTATATAATATGTCATTATTTTATTAAAATTTTAAAATATTTAATTATTATGTCGATTCTTTTATTAATTCAGGATATCGTCGACTAACATTTTTTAAAAAATCAATACTACATGAAGGAGTGAATATTCTGAAGTGATTTTAGTAGAGGAGACAACAAATTATACCGTGGACCAGGGTGCACAATGCATTGGTCCAAAACAACATCGTTTTGTTCTTATTCATTAATGGTTTTTTTTTTTTTTTTTTTTTTTTTTTTTGGAAATCCCGTTTTTCATTTTTGCCGTTATCTTCTAAAAAAAATACATGTTTCGTATGTACATAATTGTATAGTAGAATACACATAAATTCCTAACATAATACACATAATCATAAGTCTAAGAAATATCAATTCTGTATACTAAGGTACAAAATTTAAATTAAAAAATGTACAGAATTGTATAGTTGAATACACATAAATACTTAAAATAATACACATAATCACAAGTCTAAGAAATATCATTTCTGTCTAGTGAGATATGTAATTTAAATTCATAATGTACAGAATTATATAGTTGAATATACATAAACTCTTAACGTAATACACATAAACACAAGTTTTAGAAACATCATTTCTGTTTACTGAGGTATGGAATTGAAATTCATAATGTACAAAACTGTATAGTAGAATACACATAAATTCCTAATTAACATAATACACATAATCATAAGTCTTAGTAATATCATTTCTGTATGCTGATGACTGAAGGTATGGAATTGAAATTCATAATGTACAGAGTTTTATAATTGAATACACATAAACTATTAATATAATACACATAAACATAAGTGTTAAAAAAAATTGTAATGGGATTAGATGGACGGACGGTGTCCGTCGCGTCAACTCCCCACCAATTTAATCGAAACGATGTCGTATTGGACCAGAGTTCACAGTGCACTGTGAATCTTGGTCCATGATATAACGACTGAGAGGAGGTTAACCTTTTTTCTTTAAAAGTATATATCACAAAAGATGTAATCCAATTTTTGGGAGCCTCAGCTCCCTAATTATTAACTTGAATTATTATTCAAAATTTGAATGAGAAATCAATCCCGTGTAATCATATCAAAGAAGGTAGTAAAAATAATTATGAAACTCGATCATATGATTATTAACAAATCTCTTTTAAAGATATTACGAAATCAGCTTTCAAAAAAAGATATTACAAAATCATTCTTAAGGTTTAACAAATCATACTAATCGGAGAGAGACCATACAAAAAAAAAAAAAAAAAAAAAAAAAATTTAAAATTAACATCCAATTGATAGCTATATAATTATTATTGCATACAAAAGATGTTGATCAGCATTAATATCCATTGCGCACAATGTACATGGGTGAAAATTAAAGATTGATTAAGTGAGTCGTGATTTATCTCCTTCAACATTTTTGGACAATGGTTTTGGCAGCTTAGGATTAAATTCAATGCATAAGATACAGCTCAAAAAGTTTTTAGAGTTGTACTGATTACTAATATGAGAGTATGTATACTTTTTTTTTTACTATAGTACTTCATATAACCATACATGAATTTTGTGTTGTACTCAATATAAGAGGCACTAGTGTTGATAGACACAAATTAATGCTATTTATATTTAATAAATTTGTGTATTGACAATATACAAGATGGAACAAGAAAGCAATAAAATAATAAAAGAACAAAAAAAGGAAGTGCGTTGAAAAGAAAGAAAAAGAATAATATATTAAAAAAAAAATTAAAATTACATTCATCTGTTAATGGAATATACATTTTTTTTTTGAAAACATTGGCATATACATTTAAAATCAATAAAAATAATCAGGCCTAAATAAATATGTACTATCATTTAGTTGTGTACTTTTTTTAAAAAAAAAATAAATAAATAAGACAAGGAAAATCTACATTTACTATCAATGATGTATTGATGTGTACTTTTAATTTTATTATCAGAGCAAATTCAATTTGAACGAAAATATATTTAATTTATTTGTTTACTGTTTGCTATCACATTATTATATTTAAATAATTAAATCATTTGCTTTAGGTATTCATAAAAGCCATTTCATTTTTCCCAGTACATTTTGAACATTGGCATAAGAAATAAAAAGTTATCCTCCATGCATTTAATGTGAAATATACAAATATATATATATATATATATATATATATATATATATATATATATATATACACACACACACTCATCACACACATGTGTATATATATTCTTATTTATAATTTATTAATTATTGATTGATTTTGATTCCTGTTTGCTATCAAATCTCTTACAAAAATATTTTCCAACAATTATTATATTATACACTTGATTTTATTGGGGTGTTTGGTAAATAGTTGTTAGCTGATTGAGTTAGTGAGTTTGACTAGTTAATAGCATTAGCTGATTGTAGAAAAGTGTTTGGTAAATTAACTGTTAGCGGATAGTTGATTACATGCAAAATACTTTTTTAAAAAGATCATCGAAAAGCTGTTTTGAGCCGTTTTTGAATTTTAGCATTTTGAAACAATAAAATATTAAGCTGTTATAAAAAGTTAATTAATCAAACACTCATATTGATTGTTTAACAAAGTCAAACAACTAATAGTGATTAAATAAATTAAAATTGATTGATAAACTAACTATGTTATCAAATAGCGGAATCTCTTAAACCAAAACGTTTGGTCGACATCTAAATGAAGTTTATTGTTGAGGAGTTTGAAGGATTCATGATGAGTATTAAGACGAAGGACAAAGAGGTAAATTCAGGCGGGTGTACCAACATGGATGCCATTTTTTGACTTCATCCTCCACCACATTCAATAATTCCACCATTCTTTATTTATTTCAATTCCCTCATCTCTATATATAAATATACCAATTTAGATGAAACACTTCACACGGCATTAGATATATATATATATATTACAACATTGGTGGACTCAAATAGTTCATCTTCAACCCTTAATTTGCTTCTAAATCCGCCATATCAAGACTGGCCTTCAAGATTCAAGAACACACAACTCTTAAGCTCACAAATTAATGGCGGCTTTGCCAAGATCAGAAGTTTCGTTTAGAAGGCAAGGCTCATCAGGGTTGGTTTGGGATGACAAGCTTTTATCCGGTGAGCTGAAGAAAATCTCAACCAAAGATGAAGGCGGGGATCAGACGAAGGAGGCGGCGAAACCCTCCTCCGTCCAACGTAGCCGCTCGTCCGGCGGCGGTCGGGGTTTCCGTTCGACCGAGATTAAGCCGTCGTATGACCCTCCTTCTCCCAAGGTGTCTGGTTGTGGCATCTGCGGCATGTTTGGGAAGCCGGTAGATTCTAAACAACAACCGTCCAGAAAAGCCGCCGCCCACCGTCCTCACCGTAGATAGATAATCATAGCTTAGTGGGATTGCTTTCTTCAACCTTCATCGCCGCCATGCACATGTATGCTTTCATTTCTTTTTCCTCTTTTCTTTTTATGGGTATTTTTTGTGGTATGTGTAATAGCATTGAAGTTTGTGATTGTGAGAGTTTTTGTTGTCTTTCTATGTATGGCAAGAACACCATCAATCATCATAGATAAAAACAATATGAATTAAAGCATCTTTGTCGTTTCTTCTCCTTCTTTCTTTCTTAATTTTATCCTTTTAGTTCTGCAAAATTAAAGTTGTTACAAAGCTAGTTAGTTGGTTTGACTAATTGTCTTAAAATCTTGTTTTAGTGTGATTTTTTTTAGAGATCTTAATTAATCAGTTGTGATAAATATCTCTTATGCATAGAATGTATAAATTAATCAAGAGGTGAGAGTTTAAAGATTGACGGGAATTAACAACTTAATTATTATCTCTTTTAACAACTCTTGAACAAGAATTCTAAATTCAGAATTAGTTAGGCCTAAAACATTTTTTTTTTTTAAAGTTAAGTTACGTTGTTGACTTTCAAAATTAAACTATGCCTGAAAGCTTCACGAAAATGGCAATCACTCTCTCATGGTGCCGAGGTTGAAGACAAGAGACAGGTTGTGCATTGAAGAAGGTTCAAGAAAGGCAGGCAGGTGGTGATACACAAATTTGACTTTTCGAAACAATAATTGCCTTATCACCTCCCATCACCAAACATCGTATCGTTAAAACCTACCCATCTTTAATATCTTCAATTACTTGAATTGCTTCCACTAATAATTACATTTTTTATATATAAAATAAAATTGCAACAAAAAGTTTTGTCATATCAGGTCATCTCTAATCCAAAATACAAAATTCTTTATCAAATTTTACTCCAAAAGAAATATTCCATGTATATTGTTACACTAAATTTTTGCCATCCCTAACTCTTTTACACCAAATTTTATTTCATCTGTTATCCATCACATCAAATTCTATTCATATCCTAAAATAATTTGTATTCTTAATTATAATTTAAAACTTTAATTTTATTTACTTTAATTATTTTAATATAAAATATAATTTTGATATAAATAATACAGTAATATTTTAAAATGAAATTTATGTTTTTATGTATTTTTAATTTTTAATTATTTTATAGTTGATATTGATCTCGTTTTAAACGTCTCAATGAAAACTTTAAATCTTTATAATTTATTTTTAATAATATAAATTTTTAAAAGGAAACAATTAGCAAAAGAAATTTAAAAAGTTCTACACCGAAATGGTGTAAATGAATAGTATTACACCATATTTGGTGTAACACTATTCGATTATTTGCACCATTTTGATGTAGAATTTGGTGTCTTGTACTAAAATTTTACACCAAAATAGTTTTTGGTGCCTTCTTTAGAGATGATTTTAGTAGGTTATAACACAACTCACATTATATATATTAATCACCTAATGCTATGTAACTTTTGCAATACTCAAAATTTCATGGGTGTGAATGAACGACTTAGGGGTGTGTTTGATTGGTGATTTTGTTCATAGGAATGGATATGAAAGTAATTGTTGTTGTTTGGCTGATAGGCTTTTAAAATACTACTATGAGTTTCGAATACCCCATCAATTGAAAAATCTATACCCAAATAAAATAAGAGTATTTCCTTATTCATTCCCATTCCGATTCCTATGTGCGAACCAAACAGAGCCTTAGTATTTTTTTTTTTTTAATGTTACTGACCTTATTACATTGTAGTATGTGTTCATATACTTTCTCAACCTACTGAAACACAAAGAACCAATAACGCCTCCACTGAGACTCGAACTCACAACTTTCCAAATGAAAGTTCAACCCGGGTACCATTAGACCACATAGTCTTGGTAGCCTTAGTATTTAACTATAGTGATTTTTCTTGATTTAGTCCTAAATGACTTTTTGTACTTAATTAGGTCCTCGACTTTGATAATTTTATCCAATTAAGCTCTTGGCTGTTAGAAGCAAGGACTAATTAAATTGGAAACAATTAGCTTAGTATAGTCGAGAATTAAATTGGGTAAAATCACTATAGTCGAATACTAACTTGGGTAAAACCACTATAGTTGAAGACTAAATTGGGTATTGATTAATAGAGGTAAGATTTTGTACAAGAGCCTTGTGATTTAGTGACACCAAGTTGCTCTCTCATATGGAAAGTTGTGGGTTCGAGTCTCAATAGAGTTGGTATTGCCTCTTTGTGCTTCAGTAAATTGAGAAAGTAGTTATGAACATATACTGCATTGTAACAGAATCAGTAGTAAATGAGAAAACCATCAAAGTTAAGGATTAAGTCGTTTAAGACTAATTTGAGAAAAGTTACTAATAGTCCGGGATTAAATTGTGTATTACCTTGAAAAATAAAGCAAGTTGGGGAATGGAGAACGAGGGTTATATTCGGGAACTCAAAGTTTGATGGCCTAACACAACAAATTAAGGAGGATATATATTATCTGCCGTGTGCCGTCCCATAGTTATCGGTGGACACGTATTTAATTAATTAACGTTTAAAAATATGTTTTTCAATAAAAAAAATAAAATAAAATTCAGGATAAGAGGCAAATTGAGAAATTTTAATTTTTTTTTTAAAGGAGTCATTTTCATGATGATGCGAAATGGACCCAATACCACTCGCCTTTGTTACTTGCTACTGTCCACATGTTTAATATTGGAATCATTTCCTTGGTTATACTCCTACATATCCCCAACTATACCTCCATTTATATATGCACCTTTTTTTTTTTTTTTTACAATGTTTTGTTCTTGGTGATCTTCTTTTTAATTAATTAACAAGGTTCAATGTGTGTCAATGGTCATGTAGTCTAGTGTCATGGAGTGGCTCTTTTTAATGTGAAATTATGGGTTTGAGTTCCAGTGGGGAGATTGAGAAAATAACTATGAACATATACTGATATACTACATTGTAACATGATCAGTAGTATTTAAAAAAAAACAGTGACCAACGGGTTGGATCTGAATCGAACTAATTGAGGAAGAAAATGTATAATGAAAAAAGTTATGAGTTTGATTCTTATTTAAAATACTGAGTAAAATTGATCAATATTATTACATTATATATGAGTAGCCAATGTTGGGTGGAATTAAGGAGAATTAGAGGGATTATATTAACAAATAATCTTGTAGGATACTTTTATTACCGGGATTTTGAGAAGCAGAACAATAGTTAGAGGAAAGAAAATAGAGACTCCGTTTATTTATATAATTTTTAAATTTAAAAAATATAAAATGGAAAATGGAATGTTTGAGAAAAAATTTTAAAATTGAAGTAAATGTAGTCTTAACTTTAATCTCTTTCTTGTGAGGGACTCTCCTGTGAGAATGTCTCACGGATCCTTATCCGTGAGACGAGTCGAGTTAAGATGAAAATATAACATTTATATTAAGGCTGTGTTTGGAAACCCGGAAAATGACTTCTGGAAGTCATTTTCCGGGTTTTTGGTGTTTGGCTACACCTGGAAAATCCAGTCAACGGAATCCATTTTCCGTTGACTGGAGAAAATGAGGCCAATTTGGCGGAAAACGACTTCCGCCAAATTTGGGCGGAAGTCGTTTTCCGCCCCTTCTCTTTCATTTTTTTTTTTTTAAATTTTTGGCGGAACTGGGTTCCGCCAGAAACCAGCCTTGTTCCGCCGGAAGCCATAAATATAAATATAAATAAATAAATAAATAAATAAATAAATAAATAAATAAATATATATATATATATATATATATATATATTTTGTTTTAAAGATTTAAAATGAATTTTTAATTCAGAATAAAATAATTAAAATATTTAATTATATCATTCTACTCATTTTCCAGAAAATGAACCAAACACACCAAAATAGTTTTCCAAATGCAACCAAACAGTGGAAAAGAAAAATGTTTTCCGGAAAATGTCTCATTTTCCAGAAATCATTTTCCAGAAGTCATTTTCCTGCTTTCCAAACGGATCCTAAAAATGTAATACTAATCAAGTATAAAAGTTGTTACTTATAAGAAAAATTGTAATACTTTTAATCAAAATTTAAAAGTATTACAGTACTTTCCCCCTCACTTTAAAAAGTTGCTCCCACACTGTGGCTAGTGAGACTCAATCCTTGGTCATTCTTCAATCGTTATATCCCACACCACGGCGCACATAGCACTGTGCGCCGCGCGCCTCCCAAAACGACGTCGTTTTGGGGTCGCGTTGGGAGGCGTGGTAGGAAGTTGCTAAGATTATGTGTATTCGTTCACAACGTTATGTGTATTCGTTCACAACGTTATGTGTACTGGTTTATACAGTTATGTGTATTTTTTATACAATTATGTACATTGTTTTTATACAATTATGTGCATCCGAATCAGAAAATTTGTGTGTATTATGTTAAGAGTTGATGTGTATTATGTTAAAAGTTTATGTTTATTATGTATTATGTTAGATTATGTGTATTATCTTTTAAAAAGAGTATGTATATTTTGTTATAACATTATGTGTATTCATGTATAACATTATGTGTATTCAAGTATAACATTATGTACATTCTTGAACAGCGGGTTTTTTTTTTTTAAAGAAAAGCCTACTGCCATTCACTGGGGCGGGAAATTTAAAAAAAAAAATAATTAAAACGACGTCGTTTTGCATCTGGGCGCATAGTGCAATGTACGCCATGGTGTAGGACATAAATTGCCACTGCTGGACGCAAACTATGCTGTGCACAAGGTGCACACGATTGTAAAAACGACGTCATTTTGACTAAAAATGCACGTCTTACTTAAAAAAAAAAAAAAAATCAGGTTCGATTTCCGGCAATAGCATTTTTTGTGTGCATAATTTGAATTATATATCCACAAATTCATAACTATATATCCACAAGTTCATAACTATATATCCACAAATTCATAACTATATATCAACAGTGAATGAATAACACAAAATCCATAATGAATAACTAAATATCCACAATGAATGAACTAAATATCTACAAATTCATAACTATATATCCACAATAATGCTGTTGAGGGAAATCGAAACTGAATTTAAAAAAAAAAAAAAAAGGGACGCACGTTTTTAGTCAAAACGACGTCGTTTTGCAACCGTGTGCACCATGCATGGTGCACACGGTTGCACATCATAACTATTGATTGCTGGAAGCCTGAAATTTCACGTTACTAGCTTCCCGGGTTGCTCTGAACCAAATTGGTAATTCTACTATAGTTAATGAACCATTTCGTTAATTAACTCTTCGGTTTAATAAGAGAGAAAATTGTAATTTTGATGTGAAGTTCTAGCAATATCCTCAAATTAAACATATTTCTGACACTGATCGAACGAAGGACCAAATTAGTTAAGATTTTCAATGTTACAAACTTAATTAGGCAAAAATTTTAGAGCTGTCAAAACGGGCAACGGCCGTTACGGGTTGAGGAAGAAACAAGCTGGACTCAACCCCGCCAGCTGTTTCGAATCCAGGTTGGGATTTTAGCTCAAACGGGCCATCCCGCCAACCCAATTCCTATTAATAAATTAATTAAACCTCTAACCTAGTTAAGAACTGAAACCACTATCGACTCAACGGGCCATCCCGCCAACCCAATTCCTATTAATAAATAAATTGGCATCTGCTCGAAGATTGGTTTCAAACCAATTTGTTCAGTCTAAACCGCGTAGGTGATCAGTTGTTCGCCGATGTAAAGCATCCTCCCAGATTTGATAAATTAATTAAATATTTTTAATTATTTGTATAACCTAAAACTCAAACCTCTAACCTAGTTAAGAACTGAAACCACTATCGACTCAACACAATAAACTTTTCGAACAAACCTTATGTGTGCTTATATATAATGTATTTTTAGATAATTAAATTTTAATTTATGTTTCGATAATTTGATTTTAATTTGTAATATAATTATAATTTATTTAATTCAAATTTAACACTAATATAATTTTTATATAATTTTTTATATACTGAATTTATTTTATAATTATAATATTATTAAGTTATAAATTTTATAAAATATTTATAAAAACTTTATATAGTTGATGTAATAAATGAACTTTATATTAATTGTATAAATATATTAATATTTATATAAAGTTACGATTAATCATATTAATTAACATTTGTAATAAACATAAGAGTAAATACCTAAAATGGTCCCTCGAGTATAGCAAAATTCACAAATTAGTCTTCGACTTTCAATTTCAACCAATTAAGTCCTTAATTTTGTAATTTTGACACGATTTGGTCATCCATCTATTTGACTGTTTGTTGACTGTGATTTTTGAGGATATATATGTAATTTCATGGTCCACCGTCGGTTTTTTAAGGTTCCGGTTGCATTTCCAGACTGCACTGTTACATCTGAAATCCACTGCCGAAAGCAATCTACCAAATCCGGTCGCATTTCTTCATCCTCCCTTTGGATTCAATGTAGTTGAGTCCGTACCAGAGCAAAGAAGACGGCATGTTTCCGAACCAGTGCAACATCATACTAGAGGCCTCCACGTGCTCCGACGAGAGTTGAAGGTTCTTCTAGAGATCGTCGATCACGGACAACAAACAGTCAAATAGATGGAAGACCAGATGATGTCAAAATTGCAAAGTTAAGGACTTAATTGGTTGAAATTGAAAGTCGAAGACCAATTTGTGAATTTAGCTATAGTCGAGGGACCATTTTGAATATATATATATATATATATATATATATATATATATATATGTATGTATGTATGTATGTATGTATGTATGTATGTATGTATGTATGTATGTATTTATTTATTTATGAATTAATTATATAAATAAATAGTTAAACAAAAGAATTCACAAATAGTCATTAGCATATTTAGTTTTAATAGTCTTAATGCTTAAACTAATTGAAAGGGTAGAAGTTCAATTCGTATAGTATAATTAATTTTAAACACTAATTCAAACGCCAATTACACAAAATATATTTAAATAAATTTGAAGTGGGCGTGGGTAGTGGGTTATTGGGTTATAGTATAACCCAAAAACTTTGCTTAAGTACCTTAAACTGGTTAAATAAATAAATTGAGTCCAATTCTTCCAACCCTAGTTAGTAACCACAGACCTTTAACCGTGAATGATTTTCTCATTTTGAATTTGGACTTAAAAAACAAAAGTTCTTTCTATAAATTTGGAAAGAGCAAATATCAATTTTGGTTCCACGAGTATTAGTAAAATGACAGTTTTGGTCCACATGTTTAATTTCTATTAATTTTCATCCACGACTATTGTTTTACTACCAATTTTCATCCACGACTATTGTTTTAGTGCCAAAATTCATCATGCCAGTCACCACTTCGTTTAAGACATGTCGAAATATGAAATTATGAATGGTATTTTCGTCATTTTCAAATTAAGATCTCAATTTGAGCATGAATAAATGAATCTAAACCCTAAGATTGATCTCAATTCGTAGTTCTCATTCTCAAATTAAGGTAGGATGATGAGGAAAATTGCGAATTGGGATGAATCTTAGGACTTAAATCTTTTTATTAATGCTCAAATTTGGATCTTAAGTTGAAAAGGATGAAAATACTCTTAAAAGTTTTAGATTTCGGCATGTCTTAAATGGATGGGTGACCGGCAAGATGAATTTTGACACTAAAACAATAGTCGTGGATAAAATTGGTACTAAAATAATAGTCGTGGATAAAAATTGGTAGGAATTAAACATGTGAACCAAAATTAGTATTTGTCCAAATTGGAAACACAGAAAATTTAAAAAGATACCGATACAAAATAAACAATAACACAAAATGTGTAACTTACCGGCCTCTATGTTTATAGAAACTATGACAATAAAATAAAAATTCATAAACTTAATATTTTTGGCAAATAAATTGTAACATGCAATAGTATCTGTATTCTAAATAATATATTAAAATTTTAAAAGTACTAAAATAAAGTAAAACATGAAAATAATTTAAACTCCATTTGATCCAGCGCCACCATTATATTGGTTCCAAAGTGTGTTAGCATGATTTTAGATTGTGCCCCCATCATGAAAAGCTGATTTAATTTTTCAATTACTGATAATAGAGTATTTTCATGCGGTGTTTCATGGATTGTAGCTCAGGCAATTGAAGACTAGACATGGATGGTTTACCTCTTTCAGCTTCTCTCAAAGTTTGATTGTCTAACATTTCTTCATCAATTTGAGCTTCAAGGATATCGATTTGGGCAGTCATCATTCTCATGTTGGCCTCCCGATGAGCATGGACAAGCACTTCATGGATGTTGGCTTCTGGTACGTGTGAGGTTTTGAGCAAAGTATTTGGTACAAGGACGGTGTTCAAATCTGGGTTGCTAAAGATGAAAGCCTTGCCAGATGGAGAGAATACCACCATCTCAAACTCTGTGCCACATAAAGTTGACATCACACTAACTTTTTAAAATAAACAAGTGTGACGTTTTGAAAATGTTGCATTACGATGAACATCATTTTCTATTCTAGAAATATTATTACAACTAGACATCTTCAAGAAAATTGAATTACTCACTAATATTGTGAGACAATGTATATTTACATTGTAGAATGAAAGTCGTATTTATAGTCAAGACATTACAACAAGCATAATTTTTTGTTATGGCATAAAAATTATTATAAATTAACTTCTAAATTTACGACTTGGGCGTGTATAAAGATTTTTAAGAGTTGGTAAGTGATATTTAGAATTGCGTGTATTTTAAGAGAAATTTTTATTTTAATTGAATTTGTTTTGTGGTACAAAGATTAATATGAATTAATTTCTAAATTTACAACTCTTTCTTCAGTTGTTATACTTGGACTATGGTCTAAAAACGATCCCGTTTTTATGAGTAAACAAATGACAACCGTTACATTTTGTCAAATTCTAATTTTTTTTTCTGTATTCATAACAAAATGAAAATACAGTGTATCTAAAATGAAACTGTCTCGCATATTGTGTTTATATTCTCAAATGAAACTATAAGGATTCATTCCTTATTTGGGGTGAATTAAAGTAGATTTTGATTCTCTTAAGTGAAGGGTTAAATTTCATATATTAGTACGATTAAAATGTGTAATGGTAAATTACAATTTGATTTTTTAAGTATACTTATGAAATTATTGAAATAGAAATTTAAAAGGCTTTGAATAAGTATTTGTCTCACATTAAAAGTTTGAGTATATTTTATATTGTTGCACTTTATTATGTTGTTAAGTGTACTCCATAGTATTATTACTTGCACTTCAAAATTTAAGTTATTTTAAAAAATACCACTATATTTTTTGAAATTATTTTTTGAAATGTTATATCTTTCAAGATTAACGACTCTTATTGGCTCCTAGTCTTCTCATGTGTGCTTGTTCTTATTTCATCTTAATCCTATCAGACACATGATGTATGTATGTGTATGTATGTATGTATGTATGTATATATATATATATATATATATATATATATATATATAGGGAGGGAGGTGGCCTGGGGGCAGTGGGGACAGCTGCCCCCACTGTCCTAAATCATTTAGCCCCAAAACGACGTCGTTTTGGGGTTGAAATATATATATTATTTTTTATTAATTTTCTTATTTTACATTTTACGGAGAAGAAAGTAGTGTTTTGTTTCAACTTTCACGCAATCACGCAGAGCTCGTTTCATCGTTCGTGCTTCTTTCTCTATGTCGCCGCTTCTTCCTGTCGTGGCGTCGTCCTTGGTTACCGATCTGCCGTTAGCAGGAACGCCGCCGGCAACACTGTCTGTATGAGCGAAATGCTAGTATTTGACCATTTGTAATAAGAATAAGCAATTGGAAAAAGTGGGGTGTGAAATCTTAACTATTGATTTGCCAGATGAGATTATGGATCAACAGATTCAGTTACAATAAGATAGAAACTGTAATACAAAAGGGAGAGCTATTGTAAACTACTCCTGACTAATATGCTAGTCATATAAGACTAAGCCACGACCTGATCACCACTCCCTTTTCATCAATGGTGATTCTTTGCACGTATTCATTTATTTTTTTATTTTTTAGTTTCAGAAGAACCATTCAACTAAAAAAAAAGAAGGAAATCTTGCTTATCATTCTTTTCACTTCAACAGGAAATATTCTTTTCCTTAGTTGATAATATGCTATATTAAGGATATTCAATTTACAACAAATTATTATTCCTTGTTCAATTTGGACACTTTCATCCGTCTTCAACTATAAATTGTAACAACAAATATTATATAGTGCAATTGATGAAATGAGTTGTATCGATTATATTTTTTGATGTTATCCTTGCATGAATTCGAGCAAATAATTTTTCAATTATCCGTGCAGTGCGCGTGCAATGCACGTGCGATGCATGAATAAATGCGTCTCCATGCCGGAGACAAAGAAACCTTCTTCGTCTCTGGCCTGGAACTGCAACAACCCAAAATCCACAAGTGAACGGTGGAGATCTGATTGGGTTTGGAGAGCATACAAACCCACAAGTGATCTCTGTTGTGAGATCAAACAACACAACAGGACTGCAAATCTTAGTTGGAGATGGGACATGGCTTTCTGTCCCACCTGATCACCACTCCCTTTACATCAACGTTGGTGATTCTTTGCACGTATTCATTTTTATTTTATTTTATTTTTTAGTTTCAGAAGAACCATTCAACTAAAAAAAAGAAGGAAATCTTGCTTATCATTCTTTTCACTTCAACAGGAAATATTCTTTTCCTTAGTTGATAATATGCTATATTAAGGATATTCAATTTACAACAAATTATTATTCCTTGTTCAATTTGGACACTTTCATCCGTCTTCAACTATAAATTATAACAACGAATATTATATAGAGCAATTGATGAAATGAGTTGTATCGATTATGTTTTTTGATGTTATCCTTGCATGAATTCGAGAAAATAATTTTCCAATTATCCGTGCAGTGCGCGTGCAATGCACGAATAAATGCGTCTCCATGCCGGAGACAAAGAAACCTTCTTCGTCTCTGGCCTGGAACTGCAACAACCCAAAATCCACAAGTGAACGGTGGAGATCTGATTGGGTATGGAGAGCATACAAACCCACAAGTGATCTCTGTTGTGAGATCAAACAACACAACAGGACTGCAAATCTTAGTTGGAGATGGGACATGGCTTTCTGTCCCACCTGATCACCACTCCCTTTACATCAACGTTGGTGATTCTTTGCACGTATTCATTTTTATTTTATTTTATTTTTAGTTTCAGAAGAACCATTCAACTAAAAAAAAGAAGGAAATCTTGCTTATCATTCTTTTCACTTCAACAGGAAATATTCTTTTCCTTAGTTGATAATATGCTATATTAAGGATATTCAATTTACAACAAATTATTATTCCTTGTTTAATTTGGACACTTTCATCCGTCTTCAACTATAAATTATAACAACGAATATTATATAAAGCAATTGATGAAATGAGTTGTATCGATTATGTTTTTTGATGTTATCCTTGCATGAATTCGAGCAAATAATTTTCCAATTATCCGTGCAGTGCGCGTGCAATGCACGTGCGATGCACGAATAAATGCGTCTCCATGCCGGAGACAAAGAAACCTTCTTCGTCTCTGGCCTGGAACTGCAACAACCCAAAATCCACAAGTGAACGGTGGAGATCTGATTGGGTTTGGAGAGCATACAAACCCACAAGTGATCTCTGTTGTGAGATCAAACAACACAACAGGACTGCAAATCTTAGTTGGAGATGGGACATGGCTTTCTGTCCCACCTAATCACCACTCCCTTTACATCAACGTTGGTGATTCTTTGCACGTATTCATTTTTATTTTATTTTATTTTTAGTTTCAGAAGAACCATTCAACTAAAAAAAAGAAGGAAATCTTGCTTATCATTCTTTTCACTTCAACAGGAAATATTCTTTTCCTTAGTTGATAATATGCTATATTAAGGATATTCAATTTACAACAAATTATTATTCCTTGTTCAATTTGGACACTTTCATCCGTCTTCAACTATAAATTATAACAACGAATATTATATAGAGCAATTGATGAAATGAGTTGTATCGATTATGTTTTTTGATGTTATCCTTGCATGAATTCGAGCAAATAATTTTCCAATTATCCGTGCAGTGCGCGTGCAATGCACGTGCGATGCACGAATAAATGCGTCTCCATGCCGGAGACAAAGAAACCTTCTTCGTCTCTGGCCTGGAACTGCAACAACCCAAAATCCACAAGTGAACGGTGGAGATCTGATTGGGTTTGGAGAGCATACAAACCCACAAGTGATCACTGTTGTGAGATCAAACAACACAACAGGACTGCAAATCTTAGTTGGAGATGGGACATGGCTTTCTGTCCCACCTGATCACCACTCCCTTTACATCAACGTTGGTGATTCTTTGCACGTATTCATTTTTATTTTATTATTATTTTTTTTTTTAGTTTCAGAAGAACCATTCAACAAAAAAAAAAAAAAAAAAAAAATCTTGCTTATCATTTTTTTTCACTTCAATAGGAAATATTCTTTTCCTTAATTGATAATATGATATATTAAGGGTATTCAATTTACAACAAATTATTATTCTTTGTTCAATTTGGACACTTTCATCAGTCTTCAACACTCAAATTGACTCCGGTAAATCGGAGCTCTAACCGGATTGCTGACGGCCGGAGGGACTAAATTAACTAAAAATAATTGTTTTCAGAGACCAAATCGATGAATAAGTAATTAAGGGGACTACATTGACATTTCGCTAATAATTGAGGGACCAAATCATTGATTAACTCTTAAAACAAATAAGAATTCACTACTCCTTCAAAAAAAGGTGTAGTGAAATGTAATTTTAAAATTAAAAAATGGGAAAATTGCATCTTTGGTCCCTGAGTTATACCCAAGTTCCGATTCAGTCCCTGAGTTATGACTGTATTCATATTTAGTCCCTCAGTTATGAACAAAGTGGCGTATTTGGTCCTCGGCCGTTAAAAGTGACGGAAAAATTTTAAAAATTTTAAAATTTGACGGGTAAAGTAGGAAATTCACATTTTATTCTCCTTCTTATATCAAAACCACTTTCACAACATTATTTTTCACTTCTTAGCCTCTTATTTCATGATTGTTCAATTTTAAAAGCATTTCAATAACTTTAGTATGACTTGTTAGGAACCTAGCTCTCGTATAACAAACTTAAGACTTAGCACAAAAATAAAGAAACATTTGATCATTGTCTTCAGACGTGTGAAACACACTATCCTATCAATTTTCAATTTTCCTTACAAAATGATGTCAAATTTCTCAGGTTGCTTTTATGTGAAATTCACCAACTGAATAACTTGAGATTTTTAGTATGTAACATTTTTTCGTATAGTGTGTTTCTTTATTTTTGTGCTAAGTCTTAAGTTTGTTATACAAGAGCTAGGTTCCTAACAAGTCATACTAAAGTTATTGAAATGCTTTTAAAATTGAACAATCATGAAATAAGAGGCTAAGAAGTGAAAAATAATGTTGTGAAAGTGATTTTGATATAAGAAGGAGAATAAAATGTGAATTTCCTACTTTACCCGTCAAATTTTAAAATTTTTTAAAATTTTCCGTCACTTTTAACGGCCGAGGACCAAATACGCCACTTTGTTCATAACTGAGGGACTAAATATGCATACAGTCATAACTCAGGGACTGAATCAGAACTTGGATATAACTCAGGGACCAAAGATGCAATTTCCTCTTAAAAAATTAAAAAAAAAAAAAACTTTTTCGCGACCCCCCCTTTCTCAGAGGGTGCACGACTGCACCGAAACTTAAATAATAAAATATTTATGAAATTTACCTGCAAAAAATTTATTATTATTTTATTAGATAGACTTTTCGTGGCACCATATACTTGAAGGTGTCTATGAAAATCCTCCATTTTTAAAAAATTAGATATTCGTCCATAAGGTTGAACCCCACACTCTAGCTCCGACACTTTGCTTATAATTTATACATGAAGCTTTTATCATCTCAGCTGTACGGATTATTAAAATTAGATATAGATATATAGATAGAATGATAGATAGATATAGATTAAATAGACTTTGTCGCTCTATCTCGCGAGTCGTGAACCACCGCTTCCTCTGCGTCTCGCCACTTCGCTCGGCTTCGTCTTCAACTGTCGCCGGCTGGGCTCCGTCTTCAGTCTTCACCCTCAGGTTCGTTTGCACCCCCTTTCTATACACCATTCTAACCCTAATTCCCAATTTAGAAAACAATTAATTTCTTTATGCTTCCGCCTTCCTGGAGACTTGGAGTTCCTACGGCTGCGACGAGGATAGTGAGCGAGGCAGCGGCGACCAACAGGCGAGGTCCTCGATTGGTGGTGGCGAGGTGGCGATTGACCAGCGAGGAGGCCGCGGTGGTGTAGATAGGTATGTCTTACTTCTTACTCTTCTAGTCTATTTGTTGCGGCCTGTGGAGGTTTGTTATTTTTGTTCTGATTGTGCACTTACGTGTTAGAAACATCTGTGAACATTACGTGTTAGGGTTCAGCTAAGGGGAGAGTTATGGGGCGCATCTGTGGAATAGGGAAAGTGGGAGAATGAGAATTGAGGCGGGTAGTATTATAGGTAGCATTTTTTTTTGGGCATTGTATCATCTGCAAAAGGGATTTATGATTCTTGAACATTAAATTTCTACTGCAACTTATGAATTCAAACACACACTCAATCTTTTTTTTCTAGTACAATAGTTTGATGTTGAACATTAAATTTCTACTTCACCCATTCATGCCATTTGTCACAGAGGAACTGTGGCAGCGTCTTCCAGCTAAGAGAGATTGTTCCAAAAAAGAATCTATAGTTATAAGTGAATATCCTTCAACTGTTGAGGTGAGATCTGTGTGCATGTCTAAGGAATTGGTGGATTTCCTTTGTAGTATTTTATAGCATAACAGATAATTGTTACTTGTATCCTAAATGCTGCTGCCATTCTGTCATGCACATTGTTTTTCCCAGTTCATATAATGGACAGTGACATCATGATAGCAATTGCCTACAATTAACAATTTTTGTATGCTTGTTTACATGTGTCTTAAAGATGGCATTTTAAACTCAATCTTATTTTTGCAGAGCTGGAATAATGATAAAGTTGAAGATGAGATGGAAAAGGTAACATCTATAGTAAAAGGGCTGCGGTCAAAGAGGGCATTGCTGCCTCCAAAAGAAAGATTTGAAAGGTAAACGTTAATGATCATATACTCTATTTTGGCAAAATAGTCATTTCTTGCTAATATAGCTAATATTATTTGGAAGTCTCTTCTTCCTGAATAGGAGAATATTTGTTGGAAGGTCCTATGCAGTGTGTTGAAAGTACAATGTGTTAGGACTTTAAGATTTTAAATTTGTGCCGATTGAAAATATAAAGTGTAATTTCCTATCTCCAGGTGAGCTGCGTATTGCGTTATGGGCGTCTGCGTTTGTTTGGCCAAAGGTGCTGCAGAAACACTGAAGCTCAACATGGCCATAATCCTGTTACCAGTCCGCAGGAACACCATCACCTGGCTCAGGAACAAGACCAACTGACCAAGTTAGGCGTCGCGGTCCCTTTTGATGACAACCTTAATTTTCACAAAGTATGTCACAAATTTTATTCCTCTATATGTATGCAACTATATATGCCTGTTTATGTGATGAGTGTGACAACTAACATGTTTAATTGGTCAGGTGATCGCGGTGGCTGTGGCGATTGGTGTGGGAATACAGGCAATAGCTCACTTGACGTGTGATTTCCCAAAGCTGATACACGCGAGCCCTGAGATGATGAAGTTGTGATGACAGACATGGATGTACTTGGCTGTTCCCATGGTAATTTATGCTTGTGAAAAACTGCTCAGATCATTCAGATTTAGCATTAAGCCTGTCAAGATTCTTAAGGTGATTTGATTATTTCAGAAATTATTATTCATATATAATTGGTTTCAACTTTCAAGAATAGAATGTTATTGACAATTTCCTATGTTTTATTGGAGGTGGCAGTCTATTCTGGAAATGTTTTGTCCCTTCATATGTCCAAGCCACAGGGGTTCAGATACCGAAGTGGTCAATACATGTTTGTCAACTGTTCTGCAGTTTCTCCCTTTGAATGGTAATTGGAAAAGAAATTGGTCACTAATTTCTGTTTTTCCCTACAGCCAGCCTGTCTCCACTATTTCTTCCTTGTTTGAATTTTCCTTAATGTTTTTGAATTTTGACCCATGTTCACATCACCCTTTCTCAATTACTTCTAGTAGAAAGCATGCATTAATTACAGTCGGCCTGTTCTTTTCTTGTTGACAGCTGGTGAGATTGAAAAGCTGAAAATTGATCAGTGCAAGGTCTATTTAAGGAAGCATGGATTGAGATTGACGGGCAACAAGGCTACGTTTATTGAGCGTATCAAGGAGCATATTGAGTAACTTCCCTTTCATTTCCTCCCATTTTCTGTGTTTGCTAATGTGACTTGGAAATTAGTACATAAAACATTTTCTTTTTGCTTCAGTGTTGTCAATGGTGGTGGAGAGAAGAAGTATCCTGTATCTAGTTTTGTATGGAACTGCAAAGGTATTCTCATTTCATAAATTTCTGAAACATCCATTATATAGCATCATGTGTTTTTAAGTTAAGAGACTTTTGATTCTATCATCACTTGATAAAACCTAATTCAATGTTGGTTTGAGAGCTAATTCTAGTTTTTGCTATTCTGAGCTTAACTTCCTGAATTTATGCAGGTGATGCATGCACTGAAGATGTTGTTTTGTTTGAACAAATGTATATGAAATGTAAGCATTTTACTGCATGATAAACTTCTTTCAAGTGTTACCTATTTGCCTAAAGGTTTAAATTAAATACCTTGTTGACATATTGGGTATCATATAGTTTGTTGCATATGTTTTGTGCTGTACTAGAAATCCTTAATGCAGTGGTATTTATGGTCTACCAGGTTCAATATTGCTTCCAGGAGCGCTAGTGCTCCTCCTCCATGCGGTACAAGGGTTGTTGCAGGAAGAATTGTAAAAGAGAGCTATGGCATGCTGAACCAAGAAATGAATTCACATTCATATGAAGTTTAAAACCTTCTAGCCACTGTTTATGTATTTTGCACCTTCTTAAAAAAAAAATAAAAAAATAGAAGAGATCATAAAACTGGTTACCAATAGGGACTTATGTATTTGTGCTGTAAAAGTGGGAGTTCATTTATTATTTTAAAAAAATTAGTTGCCTCTCTCTCTTTATATGTATACTAGTTTTTTACGCGCTTTGTGTGAATGTGATAATACTCAATGATTATTCTTAAATAAGGATTTCAAAGTATATCAATGCAATATTTATATAGGAGATGTTTATGTATAGGCAAATAAATGTTGAATTTGTTTATTTAAATTGGTAATTTAAAGTATATAAATTCAAGATAATATATAGTGATTGATTATAATTGTCACTGAAATAAATATTTGTAACTTTGTAATAACGTTAGTCTAAATACTTTGTTTTAAAGCGATAGTCGTCTCTGGGGAGTTCCAATTGAATTTTGTGTCTACCAAGGATCAGATAGCAAACGTCTTCACCAAATCACTGCGATTTGCTGCTCTTCGTGACAAGCCGGGATCGCGGTTTGCTGCTCTTCGTGACAAGCTTGTTGTCGTGTGTGGTTGTGGCTTAGTCTTATATGACTAGCCTATTAGTCAGGAGTAGTTTATGATAGCTCTCCCTTTTGTATTACTGTTTCTATCCTATTGTAACTGAATCTTGTTGTCGTGTGTGGTTGTGGCTTAGTCTTATATGACTAGCCTATTAGTCAGGAGTAGTTTATCCTATTGTAACTGAATCTTGTTGTCGTGTGTGGTTGTGGCTTAGTCTTATATGACTAGCCTATTAGTCAGGAGTAGTTTATGATAGCTCTCCCTTTTGTATTACTGTTTCTATCCTATTGTAACTGAATCTGTTGATCCATAATCTTATCTGGCAAATGAATAGTTAAGATTCCATACCCCACTTTTTTCAATTGCTTATTCTTATTACAAATGGTCAAATACTAGCATTTCACTCATACATGCGGTGTTGCCGACGGTATTCCTGCTAACGGCAGACCGGTAACCAAGGACGGCGCCACGGCGGGAAGAAGCAGCGACGTAGAGAGAGAAGCACGAACGATGAAACGAGCTCTGCGTGATTGCGTGAAAGTTGAAACAAAACACTGTTCTCTCCTCCGTAAAATGTAAAATAAGAAAATTAATAATAAAATTATATATATATATATATATATATATATATATATATATATATATATATATATATATATATCATGTGTGTGTTAGGATTAAGATGAAATAAGAACAAGCACATATGAGAAGACTAGGAACCAATAAGAACCGTTAATCTTGAAAGATATAACATATCAAAAAATAATTTTAAAAAATATTGTGGTATTTTTAAAAATAACTTAAATTTTGAAATGCAAGTAATAATACTATGGAGTACACTTAACAATATAATAAATTGCAACAATATAAAGTACACTCAAACTTTTAATGTGAGACAAATACTTATTCAAAGCCTTTTAAATCTCTCTTTCAATAATTTCATAAGTATACTTAAAAAATCAAATTGTAATTTACCATTACACATTTTAATCGTACTAATATATGAAATTTAGCCCTTCACTTAAGAGAATCAGAATCTACTTTAATTCATCCCAAATAAGGAATGAATCCTTGTCAAATTAATTCCTCAAAGTAGTCACTCAAATATCATTTTTATTAATTTTTTTTACACATCGTAAAATCGTAACATGACATAATTTATAGTAGAGTCAATTAATCCAATTCACAATACAAAATTAATAAAGTAAACACATTAAATTAATTTAAAATAGTCATATATATATATATATATATATATATATAGGCTTCGAATCCGGTGCACCCCCTATTATAGATGAAATCATGAGATCTCCTAATAGTCATTGATTCATTCTTCATGAATGGTGGAGATTAGATGAGAATATTCAATTAAATAAGGATATATTGAAACCAAAAGGGTTAAATAGTAATTGTAGTTATTTGTTTGTTTTTTTTTTTTTTTTTTTTGAAAATGTAGTTATTTGTTTAATTATGGATAGATTTGAATTAGAATCTTTTGGATTATTTTTAGAAGAATATGAATGGAAATGGATATTAATAATTATTTTATGACCTGTGTTGACCCTTAACGCACCATTGGGAGTGTATACCTGAACTGGGAGGCAGCAACGCAGATCAAGAATAGGGAATGACTTCTAGCAACTCCGGTATGTGCATTACTATTTTTCGGTCTGTGCATTTTTTGTCGTGTTTGTTTAGAATACATCGTAATACAAACAACGTTGAATGGGACGTGTGTTAGTGAGTAACCTATTTGTTAGAGTGAGGTAGGACACATAATGTTTAAAGAGGTATTGATAGCGTAAATTATAGATTGTGATCGATGTTGGATGATAAGATAAACATAGGTAGATGCATATTTGTCAACAAGCGTGTGCATTACTTTTTTCCGCTCTGTGCATTTTTAGGTTTAATTTTTTGTCGTGTTTGTTTAGAATGCATCATAATACAAACAACGTAGAATGGGACGTGTGTGCGTGAGTAACCTATTTGTTAGAGTGCGGTAGGACACAGAATGTTTAAAGAGGTAGTGGTAGCGTAAATTATAGATTGTGACGTTGGATGATAAGACGAACATAGGTAGGTGCATATTTGTCAACAGCGTGTGTGCATGAGGCTGTTTTTTTAGTGGCGTATTTGTTTTTTGTGTGAGGGAAGTAAATGACATTGGTGTTTTGGGGTGTTTGGTTATGGAACGTGCGTAAATATGATTCGACCGAAATGAATGGTATGGGGTAGACTGTGCAGGAGTAAGGGGTGTTTGGTTTTTTAGACTATGATGCGTATTATGAAAGTAGTTTGTGTGTAGTAATTGATCGGCGTGTGCGTATGGGTGGTTGTGTGTGCATTTTAGTAATGGAAGCGTGTACGTTTGGCTGGACGGAATGGTGGGTGTGAGTAGTGTGAAATGCAATGCTGTGCATTGGAAGGGCGGCGTGTGATTAGTTAGAGGTTAAAATGTCTATTCCACGTTTATTTTGAAAATAAATCAGAAATTAAATTACAATTAAATTCAAATACACACTGTTAACCAACACAGCAATCTGCACAGACTGGTTGCCCCGTACGCACATACATTTGTTTTTTATATTATCACAACCTATCAAGATGAAGATTATTGAGATTAGGCAATTCATGATCAACTGAATAGCAGTACCAGTGTCCACACTAGTTACCACTAAACATTAGTACAAACCATGTGATTAGGTACATGATAAAAAATGCATTTCTCCAGAAACATTAATATGCACAAGCTGGTTGCCTTATATGCACATAACAAAACACAAAAACCACACCACACACATCATGCAAGCGTTAAATCACTTAATTGGATTAACGAGATGCTTAAGGGACGAACGAATCTTAAGGGGGGGGGGGGGGGGGGGAACAATGCATCATCAACTACGTCAACGCCAACTCCAACTCAACAACCGCCTTCCTTTGGCAACCATTAAACCGCTTCATCGGTTTCAGCAGATGCTCCGGAGCAGCGCGAATCTTTAGAGGGGGGAATATTGCCTCATCAACTTCATCGGGCTCAACCCTGAGCCATCCGAATCAGTGGCTGGTTGTGCGGGCTGAGGCGGCATTTGGGCACCATCGGGCTGTGGTAAAGCTGCCACTACATCGCCAGCACCGACCAGCTCACCCACAACAACAACTACCGGCTCAACCACGAAATCACCTGGGGATGGCAAATTTTAATCACAGAAACCAAAAAAAAAAAAAAAAAAAAGAAATACAACTGCATGACAACATAGAACTGATAGAATAAGGACACACGCACAAACCCACAACCAATAACACACACACACACCTGATTTCACAAACCATGCAAACACCGCCAAACATTAAAACATACTAAATTCATATCTAACTCTCTGGTCTCTTTATCTTTTCATCATTTACTCAGAAATAAAACATTTTGATATAACAAAGGAAAAACATCAAGACTGCCAAAGATCATAAACACTAAATTTTGAGATTCAGAATGCTACTAATCAGTTAAAGAAATAAGAGCAATGCAACACTATACCATTGAAGCGGTATGAAGAGCACGAGCAAGGTTTTTAATCATTATCATTATCTTTTTCTTTATGATCTGGTGAACCATCACATAAGCCTTTAACTTATGATCTAATTAAGCACTCAAGCACCATATTTAGAAGAAAGAATTAATTGACAATTTAATCAAGAGTCATCTACTCGTTCAGGTCAAGAATAGCAAAACCCACCAAAATATACACTGCCATTTCCGCAAAAAGGGAATTTCGAAACCGAGCACATCTCGATCAAAACGAAAACACGCAGTGGCATTTCTCAACAAACACTTTACCCCTAACTTGCACACGGTAACAAACTAATACACACAAATCACTACCCGTAGCCGCGGTACCCCCGAACTCCCAACAAATAATAAATAAATTAATAAACACGCACCGACCCAATACCAGTAGCGCACCAACCTAAATGTAAAAAAAAAAAAAACAAAAAAAAAAACTAGTGCCAATTAGCAACTAAATTTCACCATAACTTGCACAAGGTAACATACTATTACGCACAAACCACCACACCTAACTACACAGCCCCAAAAAATAAAAAAAATAAAAAAAAATAAACACGCACCGACCCAATACCAGTGGTGCACCAACATAAATGCTTAACCGACAACAAAACCAGCAATAGCAAATACCAACAACATTTAACTTAACCATATGGATGAAACAGACAACCACCCTCAAGAAAACAAGATATAATTATAACAACCATAAATAGGAAGCACAGACCATATATAGCAGAGGGTGAAAATCCCACTCAAATCCATCCGAAACACAGACCATATATAGCAAAATAACAGAGATCATATATCTTATCCACGCCCGAGCTTACGGTTGGATATATATTTCACAATGCCACACACCCTACACAGTTTTAAGAACAATTACATCTGGTTATGATAAAGACAAATAAACAATTGACATAAAAATTTTAAAAATAAAATAAAAACTTTATAAACTTATAATTATCATCAAATAAAACAAGCATATTTCCTTCATAAATTCATCATGAAAACAATATAAATATT